AGCCGCCTCGGAGGAGAGGCCGCCGGTTACCACCCGGCCCCGAGGAGGGAGGTGGATGACCGAGCTTGGGGTGGGAGCCAAACAGCAGCGAGCTCAGGGCCCCGCTGCGCACTCGGGCGCCGGTGCGAGCGCCGAGCCGCTTCCGCGGGCACTGGCCCCAAGCCGGCTCTCCGAGGGCGCCGGCCTCTCGGCTACACGTAGTTAATTACGTCTGGTGCTCCCCTTTTCACCGAGGAGGTGGAAGACCCCCCCCACCCCAGCCCACTCTTTGCTGTATTTTCAGATACAGCATTTATAAACCCTGCGGTGGGAAAAGCGGAGGCGATGCAGGGAGAAAGGAATGCGGTTCGAGCAGCCAGAGCTTGAAATTAGGGTTTGATTAGCTGTCTTTACAGTATCCGTGTTAGGCTGCTATCAACGGAGTCTGGGCCGGATATTTAGTTGGCATAGTAGGCAGGTGTGATCTTCCAGTAATTTGTCACGAAACTGAACTCAGATTACAGCTCTCCCCTCGTTCCTCCTACCCCCGTAATTTTTGATCGTGTGCATAAAGGACAAGAAACACGTAGTCTCCTACCCCCTACGCCCTTTTGTCGTACCAATAAGTAACACGTGTGAGCAGATCATAATGTCTTGTTTGGAATGTTTTAATATTTCACTATTCTAGCTCCCTTCGATCTTACCCCCGAAAGACTTAAACGTGAGAATATATACACTCAGTATCGCAAATGGTAGGGCCTACCAAGGTTGTTAACTGTCGTGGCTATAAAAACAAACAAACAAAAAATAAAACCTGAGAAGATAAATGGGATGTTACTTTGGACTCAGAATTTGCTTCTTTAAAAATATGCGCAGTGCTTTTAGTTGAGCCAAAGCCCTTCTTCTCCCCTTTGTTTGTTTGAGATTGGATCAGGCTTCCCGTACTGAAATTGCAGGCCCATGGCCACTTTGTCTAATCTCTAACTCCAAAAAAAAAAAAAAAAAAAAAACTAGTAAAATAGCTAATGAAAGTATTTTACTTCTTAGTTAACTTTAGACCTCCTCCACTGTTGTTTAATTTAAAGGGAAACTGTAGCGTAAGGTATCTTAGGTGGCTCTGAACTTCAGATCGTTTTAACTTGACTGAGAGAATTGTTTTAAGATAAACAGTGTTTAGGGGGTTGTATAGATTTCTTTGCTAGTCATTATCAAAAAATTATGGTTTTTGTTGGTAACATAACAGCCCATTTCTATGTAATTTGTGTAACGTCATATAGGTCATTCGCCTCGGACATAATGAAATTTTGCAGAGGACCCCATAGATACCACTGAATTGATGAGTTTGTAGCAAGCATTCTGCTCTTTTGGAAAACTTTTTGTAGACTTGGACTTTTTTTTTTTTCCCGGTTGCACAGCCCACAGTGTTGGAGATACAAGTATTTTTCCTAATCATTCTTGTTACTATGTTGTTGATGCTGGAGGTTGAACCCGAGGCTTCACTTATGCTAAGGATGAACTTTATTGCTTCCGTTCTATTTCAGTGAACAGAATATTTCCATAAAGTTAATATGTTTCTACTATAGAGGCAATTTGAACTACTTTTCACTTCAGTCTACCTTGGAAGCCTTTTTTTTTAAGATTTTTTTTTTTGGGGGGGGTTAACCTTATGCAATTCTTTAACTGAAGTGGGAATGTAGAGACTAGCAACTTAATACATAATCATAGCCATCTCAAGCTATCAAGGGTTATGCCAAGAGCTACTGCAATGATGTGTACATTTCCTGTGCTAAAGGAAGCTCATGGAGGACCAGCTATCAGGTTCTCCTTTTTCTTTTCTTTTTTTCTTTTTCTTTTTTTTCCAGATAAGGAAGCTTCCAGTGTGCACATGACTCATGAATGGTACCTTTGTAGAATTACATTTTCTTACTAGGTATCTTTTTTTTTTTTTTTTTTTCAAAGTAAAATACCTATGTCCTCTAAAGCCCAAACCTGTCTCAGCTATTCAGTGAAAAAGAAAAAAAATTCTATTATTATGTATCGTTTGATATTAACCTACACTTTTTGTTTGCTTAGAATGAATATAAAGGAGATATCTGCCTTAATTAAGATATTTTTCCATTTAAAATCTAGCAGTTTGTATAATTATGACTTAGAGATTAGCAAATGCTTTTCTTATTTAAAAATGATTGTTCATTTATTCATTAAAATTTATTAAAGATATTTACAGTATTAATTGGTAGTCATTCAACATTTTTCCCCTACAGATTTAAAATACAAAATGTCTTAATAAGCTAAGTACTGAGTCCTTTGCTGGGATGCAAAGGCAGGAGTAACTCCCAGAAATTCAGAGTAGGAGTTTGAAGTACTCCTGATCTGCATAATGGATTCCAGACCAGCCAGGACTGCATAGTGATACTCAGTCTCACAAAACAAAAACAAACAAAATGTCTCAGTAAATTGAAAGTGGAGATCCTTAATTAAAAGTTCAAATGCTGAACTAGTACATGCTTAGAAAAATATTCAAAACTTATGAATTAATATTAATATTCAGTGATAGATTTCAAAGCTCACATTTGTTTCAAATAATTTTCTAATGATCCATATTTGGAATTATAAATATTCTAATATCAATCATTAGTAATATATTTGTCTGCTGTTTTCCCATTTTAGATCATTGTTTTATTTGCTTCTTTTCTAAATGCATTATACATTTTGCTACATAATTGCTAAAAGAATTATATAAAGAGAAAATAACCAACCCATGTGCCGCATTGAACCTGCTTATGCTAAGAAATAAGAGCTCTGTGTAGGTGTGTGCACATGAATACAGACAGGTGCCTGGAAAGGCCATAAGACTTGGATCGTCTGGAGCTGGAGTTAACAGGGATTGTGAGCTGCCCACTGTGGGTGCTGGGACTCTTAACTAGGTCCTTTGGAAGATGAGTAAGCTCTCTTAACTGCTGAACCATCTGCTGATAGAATTTCTTTATGTCTTCAGGTAGGAACACAAAATACAATTGGGTTGATGGCAGTTAATTGCTTAAATATACTTGATTACAGTTGCAAGTAAAATGCACTGGACAGAGTCAGAGGCTCTTGTAGTCCAAGCTGCCTGGAATGCCCTCCATAGTCCAGAGTGGCCTCAGACTTACCCTGCTCCTGACTCACTCATTTGAGTGCTGAGATTACAAGTGTAAGCCCTCTACTTGTTTAAAAAAAGTTTTAATTGGGGTTCCAGTTTCTGAAGAGTAGTCTTTCATTTTTTACAAATCAGGTACTTTTTTATGTATGAACAAATGATTGGTACACCAGGAAACTATTCAGTGCTACCTTTGCCTCTTGGAAATCCCCAAACTGAACTCTAGTCCAAAGAAAGTAGTATATGTTTTATAATTTGTACAAAATCAGGTGTTCTATTAAAAGTGCTTGTTGTTGAATTAGCATGTTGATAAAAGCTCATCCCAGCTATCTTGGAAATGAAGCAGGAAGAGTGCCAGTTACAGACAGGAATGGACAACATAGCAGGACCCTGTCTGAAATAGAGAAAACTATTTGAGCATGTAGGTCAGTGGTACAGCACTTGCATAGCATGTAGGAGGCCTGGCATTCAATCCTTGATGCTGCAGAGTATTAATTTATCTAAAGACAATTATTCCCAAATGGGATGATCTAGATTTGTAGTTTTGAGTCTTTGATTTTTTCTTTTTTCTTTTTTTACTTGTCTGTTACTGTGTTTGACACCCCCCACCCTGAACTCCCATTGTAGCTTTGCCCCATTTTCTTATCCAGCTTGCCAGGGCAGTCACATAGAGTATCTTCCGTTTCTCTACCAGTAAGTTTGACTCATTGTCACAGAATGTATCCTGTAGGGTAGAACTGCAGAGAAAAATAGTAAGATCGAGCAGTCTTTTATGGTTTTCCCATGTGTTCTTAAATAGTCTTCTGTATCAAATTTAAGATGCTCAAGATATAAAGTCATTGTTGGCTTAATACACACACAGCACAATTATTGAAAGCCATCTTGCTATCTACATCTGCATATATGTGCACTTTCTTGAAATGAAGATCAGCTCCGCTTTCATTCATGGGAAATAGTATGTAAGCCAAAGTCTGACTGTGAATAGCTTTTAGAGGTAGCTTAACACGGGTGCTTGACCAGCTTTTGGAGTAGGGTGAAGGCTTCAGATGACCTTGAAGTTCTTTTTCAACCCCAGGGGTTATGTAAGGTGTATCTTGAATAACACATCACTTAAGAACCTGACTAGCTGGGGATATAGCTCAATGTAGAGTGCCCTGTGAATGCAAAGCCCTGGGTTCAGTATGGTAAAGGAAGGAAAAAAGCTGTAGACTGAGGGTGCAGTGAAGTTTAAGTTAACAGTGGTCAATGTGCATGTTTAGATGTTTTGTGTGATTAGGACTGCATTACTGAAAATATTATAATTTATTAGCCAGATGTTTTATCTTGCCACATGATTGATCAGTTACAAGTTAGTTTGTATAAAAGAATTTATTGATCTTAATTTCTAAACATCAAAATTCTGTAAATGGAACCAAAATTAATGTACACCTAATAGAGTAATGTTTAGCTGAAGGGTATTTACTTTTTGTGAACTCTGTGTTTATAATTTTAAATTGCTCTGTATTTTATGCTAGTTAATTCATGGGAGCCTCTTGTACTGCCACACAATCTCAGTTCCTGCTGTATACTCTAACAAACAGTGGAAGAGACTGTTGGGTCAGTAGGTGACAACTGCAGAGGTATCTTCCTTGTAAAGATGCTTTTTGAGGTTGCTGCTCCCATCACTCTGCTCAGTAAAAATAGCTCATCTTGGTAAGTTGTTTCGACTTCACCAGGACCTGAAGAAGAAGCAGAAAAACCTGTGAAAACTAAGACTGTTTCTTCCAGTAATGGAGGGGAAAGTTCCAGTCGCAGCGCTGAAAAGCGATCAGCTGACGAAGAAGCTGCGGACCTCCCCACAAAGCCTACAAAGATCTCCAAGTTTGGATTTGCCATAGGTAGTCAGACGACAAAGAAAGCATCAGCCATATCCATCAAACTTGGATCAAGTGTGAGTTATTTTATGTGTGGTGTTGTAATAGCCCTTAAAGATTTGTTTCATCAGTCTGCTCTGTGTGTGTGTGTGTGTGTGTGTGTGTGTGTGTGTGTGTGTAGTTAAGCAAGAGTTCCAAACGTTAACTGCTTTAGCTGACTCTGTATTTATGTGTAAGTAGTCAAGAAGCAATGAGCACTTCAAGAATGGCCTGTGAATTCCATCTCAAAGCAGTTGAAGAAAAAGGCATATTGTAGAGAATGATTTTTTTTTTTTTTTTTTTTTTTTTTTTTTTTTTTTTTTTTTTTGGTACGGGTTTTTTTTGTCTCACTCTGGAGACCAGGCTGGCTTCGAACTCACAGAGATCTGCCTGCCTCTGCCTTCTGAGTGCTGGGATTAAAGGTGTGTACCACCAACGCCCGGCTGTTTTTGCTTATTAATTTTTAAATGTTGGATACATAGGGCTTTATTTATGCCATTAATGTTCGTTTTAGAGATTTTTTTAATGAAAATTTTAAGTTTTTGATCATTTTCTTACTAAAGTGTGTTTGAGTCATCTTTCTGAATTAAAAGACCATTTTTCAGAACCCCCAAATCCCATTTGTATTCCTTTTTTTGCTGTTTTTTTTTTGGTTTTGTTTTGTTTTGTTTTCTCTCCTTAAAAAGAAAATTTCAGGACTGGAGAGATGGCTCAGAGGATAAGAGCACTGCCTGCTCTTCCAGAGGTCCTGAGTTCAATTCCCATTAACCAAATGGTGGCTCACAACCATCTGTAATGAGATCTGGTGCCCTCTCTGACTTGCAGGCCTACGTGTAGACAGAACACTGTATTCACAATAAAATAACTCTTAAAAAAAAAAAAAAAATTAACCAAATGGTGGCTCACAACCATCTGTAATGAGATCTGGTGCCCTCTCTGACTTGCAGGCCTACGTGTAGACAGAACACTGTATTCACAATAAAATAACTCTTAAAAAAAAAAAAAAAAGAAAATTTCAGTCTGAACAAAAAGATTATGACATTTAACTTCATTAACATTTTCTCTGTTTCCTCTGGTTCTTTTTGTGTAATTTAAAACAAAAATCACATAGACCTAACTGCATAAATACTTGATTTTTAACAGTTTAAACATACAGTATATGTTAATCTATCTTGATCATAGATTTAACTTTTTTACATTAAACATGTACTTATTTAATTCTAATCTGCTTGGGCATATTCTGAGTTCAGTTCCTTCTCTAAATAATTGATGGAATTTAATAATTTTTAACATTTAATAATTAAATGGTAGAGTTATGTTCAGGAAAGCCTATTCAATAAAGTTTAAGTTTGGAAAACAAAAATCAGAGAGAGGCCTTGAGGCCCAAACATAAAGGGCCTGCATATTGTAATAAGGAATCTCAAGGCTTAAGCCCATTTGCATCTTAGGAACACCATTAGTTTGGAAAAGGTATGAATGGATAGTCTCCTCTTCCCTTTAGTGTTGGGGACTGAACCTGAGGACTCACATATGCTGAGATAGCCCTAATCCTGGCATATGCTGTTTTTAATAGTTGTCCAGTTGAGTGGTGCTAAGGGACGGAGATTGGAAGGTAGTGTGGTAGTATTGTGGACAAAGGGGGAAAATTAAGAGTGTGCAATACGGATCTGATCAAAAGGTCCCTATAAGATGAAGGAAAGGTTCTCATGCAACACTATGAAACTGAACTATTCATGGGAGGTCTTAAGTAGAGCTGTCCAGTGGACACATGACAGCCTTTTGGGAATATTCAAAGAATTTTACAGTTAAAATTTCATGGGAATGACTGCAATTAACCAAAGTAGTACAGAGAAGGGGGAATCAGTCAAGGGAGACACACCCAGCAGAAGGTCTGAGACCTGGCATAGTCTTTATTAAAAGTGCTATCCCAAAAGCCGGCAAAGAGTTTGGTGGCCCTGGGAGCTTTTTGCAATGGAATGGAGATGAAATGTGTGGTGAGAAGAATTTAGATTGATTAGAAAGAAGCAGTGTAGATGAGCATGATTGCAGGCCAAAGGTAGAAAGTAACTGGTAGAGAAACACAGTTTGATGCCCCTTGTCTTCTGAAGGAACTGTGTAGTCATGTTAAGGTTACTGTGAGTCAGACAGCATTAAAAGAAAGTCATTTCTTCTGTGTATATCCCTTAGTTGTGGTTTTTTTTTTTTTTTTTTTTTTTGTATACAATGCTCTGTCTGCGTGTATGCCAGAATGCTAGAAGAGGGCACCAGATCTCATTGCAGATGGTTTTGAGCCACCATGTGGTTGGTTGCTGGGAATTGAATTCAGCATCTCTGGAGGAGCAGCCAGTTCTCTTAACTGCTGAGCCATTTCTCCAGACCCATGAGTGAAGTTTTTATAGGAGAGAAAACTAATGGATACACAAAATTAATAAAGTAAAACTTACCTGCTCATAACCCTTGTGTTCAAAGATATAATGGGTTTGCTCAAAATACTGAGTTTCTTACTGTATAAACTTATGAAAAAGTTGAGCCTTCTAAGAGTAATTATTTTGATTAAACAAGCCTATATAAATTTTATATGTGATATTCTGTTAAATGTTTATTCTTCAGAAGCCTAAGGAAACAGTTCCAACCCTTGCTCCAAAAACCCTTTCAGTAGCAGCAGCTTTCAATGAAGATGAAGACGTAAGTTAATACTTGCTTTATTTTAAAGGTGTGTGTGTGTGTGTGTGTGTGTGTGTGTGTGTGTGTGTGTGTATGAAAAGCATGTGTGCCATAGTGTGCATGTGGAAGTTAGGGACAATCCTTGAGGACCAGTTCTTTCCTTCTGTTGTAGGATCCCGGGAATGTATCAGGGCTGTCAGACTTGCATGACAAGCTTTTTTACCTCCTGAGCCATCCTGCTAGCCCTTATTTTTACTTTAACTAGCCCCTCTAAGAAGATAATGCAGGGCCAGGTGGTGGTGGTACACGCCTTTAATCCCAGCATTTGGGAGGCAGAGGCTGGTGGATCTCTGTGAGTTTGAGGCCAGCCTGGTCTACAAAGCTACACAGAGAAACCTGTTTTAAAAAAAACAAAAAAGAAGATGATAATGGGGGCTGGAGAGATGACTCGGTGGTTAAGAGCATGCCTGTTAAGAGGACTAGAGTTCAGTTCCTGAGAGCTGGCTCACTAATGCCTTAACTCCAACGCCAAGGGATCCAGTTCCTTTGGCTTGCACAAGCACCTGCACTCACATGCATCTGTCCATACAACACAGAAAACACGGAATTTAAAAATAGCCAGGCACTCGGGAGGCAGAGGCAGGCAGATCTCTGTGAGTTCCAGGCCAGCCTGGTCTCCAGAGCGAGTTTCAGGACAGCCTCCAAAACAATACAGAGAAACCCTGTCTCGAAAAAAAAAAATTAAAAATAACAAACCTTTTTAAAAAGAGAAAAATAGTAGTGAAAAATTGTACTAATGGTAGTTAAATTCATATCAGTAAAATTTCTTTTTCTTTTTTTCTTTTTTTTTTTTTTGTTTCAGTAAAATTTCTTTGTAATGCCTAAGAAAATGGGGTATTTCTTTTTTGTGTGTGGTGTAAAGTACGGCCTTGTGCATGCCAGGCAGCTGCTCTGCCACTGAAGTACATACCTGAAACTAAAAATTGGATGGGTCTGTGGCACAGCCATTATCTGATAGGAACAGCAAAAGTCAGAAAGCCAGCACTTGACAAAGACAAAGTTGAGCAGTATGATGGCCACTGTGCCTTTGGTTTTCATCTCCACCTTTGCATACTTGAAGACTTTTAATATTTGTACAACTTAGGGATATTGGATTGGTGGAAAATTTCTTATGAATCATTTATGCCTTCTCCCAGGAGTACTGCTTCCACGATTTGACCGGAAAGTCATGAACATACTACTACTCCCACTTTTAAGGAGATAGCCTTATCTACTTGAAGGTCTTCCTTAGACCTTGGAGGTTGTGACACACATAAAGAAGCCAGAGGTCTCTTTATAAAGCTCTGAGACACTCTTTAAACATCTGCCCCTGTACTGACACAGAAACAAGATATTCGAAACAAAGTAAACTCAAAAAGGTCAATAAGATTTGTGGGCTAGAGGAGTTGGCTACAGTTCAGATTGCAAGCCTCTTCCCACTACACTCAGGACTATGTGGCATATGTAGCAACAAAGTTAGATTAGCTGAGTTACCTCTGTCCTACGCAGAGACTTATACTGATGGACAAAGAATGATGTAGAAAGATGATAAAAGTGTCCTAAAAGATACAAAATGTGAACATTGTATTATTCCAGAGTTTGAATAATTACTGCAGCAGCTTTGGGAGGATATTTCTTGGGCACTCTGACCATTAAGAGTTAATAATTTAGATACATTGCTTGGGACATGGCAGTATGCCTGGGATGGCCTGAAGATTGTTTTGGTCTAATGTCTTTACCTGCAAAAGCTACCTGCCTGAAAAATAGGCTGTCTTAATGTCTCTTGATTCTTAGAAATTGGGTTATGGGATTGATGAGTAAAATGGTTATGAAAAATAACTATCGATGTGAAAACTTGAGGGAAAATGATTGGAAATGGTAACTCTGTTCTGACATAGTTTATTAATGATGACTAAAAGATGAGCAAGAGGAAGTGAAACACATGTCCAGAAACAAAAATGATATGCCCTATGTTTTGGAAGGACATGAATGTATCCCTGTATAAATAAAGAAGCATTCTGGCTGCTAGTCAGTCAGGCTGCAACATTCTCCAACCATCATGGCCTCCTTCCCTTGCCTACTCCTATATCCTCTGCTGGACCTGTCCACCGCCAGCAACGGCTCCCAGCAGGTAGTTTTATAAATATTGCTAATTTTTAGGCAAGAAGCTTAGGAATCAAGGATAAATTTATAATATTTATTACTAGTATAAATAATACATACTAGGAATACAGTCATTCAAATGTGTAGAGGTCAGAAAACTTGAGTTAGTTCTTTGGCCGTGTGTGTCCTAGGGATTAAGTATAGGTTGTCTGGCTTGGTGGCAAGCACCTTCACCCACTGAGCTCTCTCCAGCCTTCTGGTGCCTGTCCTCCATGCTGCTGCCTTCGATGATGTCACTTGTGCTCCCAGGTCCCAAAGAGTAGCTGTGTCTTGCTGCATGGTGCATTTCTAGCAGGGATAACAGTGCAGGTGATCCCACCAGAACTTCCTCTTAATTAGTGTGTTCCCAAGTGAGCTGGAGGTGTCTATCTGTCTGCTCTTCTGTCTGTCCCAGTTCTCTAGTCTCCTTATAGTGTTGACATCCTACTATACCCAAGAATTTTAGTGGGGCTTTCTTTTTCTTCTTTTCCTTTGTTAAAAACATGGTTACACCTATTTCAGGCTGACTGGCAAGGAACTTGATATATAGCTGAGAATGGCTTTGCATTTCAGCTCCTCTTGCCTCTACCTTTCATGTCTTGCGATTCCAGAAATGTACCATCATACTCATACACACCATACACATCTTTTGTTGTGTGGAGGATCAAACCTGGCTAGAGCCCTGTGCAAACTAGACAAGCTGGGATTAAAGGCACTTGACTGTTTTGGCTTTGAGGTATGAACTCTTATAGCTAAGGCTAGTCCCTGAACTCACTAGGTTGTTGAGGCTACCCTTGAACTCCTGATCTTTTTACCCCTCTACCATACTCAGCTGATGTGTACATGTCCAGAAGGAAAAGATAACGTGGAAAGTATAGAAATGGTAAGAGGTGGTCGGGGGCTGGAGAGATGGCTCAGAGGTTAAGAGCACTGACTGCTCTTCCAGAGGTCCTGAATTCAATTCCCAGCAACCACATGGTGGCTCACAACCATCCGTTATAAGATCTGGTGCCCTCTTCTGGTGTGCAGATATACATGGAAGCAGAATGTTGTATACATAATAAAAATAAAAAAAATCTTAAAAGAAATTCTTAAAGAGGAAAGGAAAAAAATCTCTTTAAAAAAAAAAAAAAGAAATGAGAACAGGTTTTACCTATATTGCATCAGTGCTTTATGTGGAATGTTTAACCGTGTGTCTCTTTATATGCTTATTCTCCATGTGCTCTTTTGCAGTGTGTATTTATTTTTGCAAATGGAGGCGTGTACCTAAGTAAAAACAACCTTAGGCCATGGCTTTGTTGCTCAAAGTTATATACCATAACTGTCTTTCTTAATTTTAAAGAAATTTGGGAGCTTGTTTTATTTCTTAAGACAGAGTCCACTCTATTCATAGCTGGCCTAGAACTTGGTATGTAGAGCCAGGTTGGCCTGGAACTTGCAGAAATCCTCCAGCCTCTGCCCCTTCCTCCTGAGTGTTGGCATTTGAGGTGTGCATCACTGTGCCTGAGCCTTTTTGCTTTTATTTGCTGTTTGTTTTGTTCCTTGTTATGGCTCAAATACTTCAGTGAAGGAAGCTGGAGAGATCGTGCAAAGGCTAAGACAACTCCTGCTCTTCCAGAGGACCTGAGTTCTGTTCTAGCAGGGGACCTGCTGCCTCTGTCCTCTCAGGGTACCTACATTCCCCATCTCCCACCCAAAAGAATCAGTTTTCAAATTTTGTTGTGAATATATACTTGACATTTGCTTAGGACCTAGGCAGGTTCCGTGTCATTGCCAATGGGGAAAGTACAGCAGAAAGCATGGAGTTCATGTGTCTCTTTGACAGACTTGTTTTCTTTCCTTAGTTCTATTTGTAGGTTTTTGAGCAACTTTTGTATTGTATTTTGGCTGTACAAATAATGTACATCCTTGTTATGAGAGTTACCTCTCTCATTCTTTCTAATATTTGTTTTTGTGAAAATAGTTCTAAGAGATGTAAATTTTATGTATGTGTGTATGTATATGTTCATGCAGGGGTGTGGGTGCCCTGAGAGGCCAGAGGCAGCAGGTCCCCCTGCAGCCACAGGTACAGGTGTTGGAAGCTTCGAGACATGGGTGCTGGAACAGAATTCAGGTCCTCTGGAAGAGCAAAACCTGCTCTTAACCTTTGCATGATCTCTCCAGCTTCCTTCACTGGAGAATAAAACAAACAGCAAATAAAAGAAAAAATAAAAGAAATAAGAAAACAGCAAATAAAAGAAAAAAGGCTCAGCCAAGCGTTGGTGGTGAACACAGTGCCAGGATAGGCTCCAAAGCTACACAAAGAAATCCTGAAACTCTGTCTAGAAAAAAACTGAAAAAAAAAAGAAGAAGAAGAAGAAAAAAGAAAAAAAAAAAAAAGGCTCAACACAGCGATGCTCATATTTGTGAAGATCAAAGTTCAGTATTGGGTGTCTTCAATTAGTCTCCGTGTGTGTGTGTGTGTGTGTGTGTGTGTGTGGGTGTGTGTGTGTGGGTGTGTGTGTGGGTGGGTGGGTGTGGGTGAGTGTGGGTGGGTGTGGGTGGGTGTGGGTGTGTGTTTTGAGACGGGGCCTTGTTGGTCTGGAATTTGATGATTCAATTAGATCAAGTGAATTAGTAATTGTAATGTATTCATCTCAATTTACTTGTTGTGCAGAGTGAACCAGAAGAAATGCCTCCAGAAGCTAAGATGAGGATGAAGAATATTGGAAGGTACCATAGTTCTTCGTAGTTATTACAGAGTTATGGGGAAATCAAGGGAAAGAGTAAATTGCACACCTTTTACATGAACCTATCCCATCTGAGCCTACAAAGAATTTAAACCTATCCATGAGCTTTAAGTGTATGACATAAATAGAAGCGGTTCCAGTGGTTGACAGCCTGTCATCTTAGTAGAACTTAAAGTAAGAAATATAGCTGATTTTGTTACCAGGTCCAAACAAAGGACATAGTTTTTTACTGTTACCTTTTTTTTTTTTTTAGCTTAATATATAGACCAGGCTGGACGTCAGCTCACAGAGACCCATCTGCCTCTGCCTACAGAGTGCTGGGATTAACGGTGTGTGCCACAACACCCACCATACACATGGTTTAAATGTGAAACTGAAACAGGAGTTCACAGAAAACATGACACACTGCACATTTCTATGTTTCACACATCTTTGGATTTTTGTTTCATTTTTACAAATGCTGGTGATAAGCCATCAAATTAACTTTTTAACCTTATTTGTGGGTTTTAGGTCACTTACTTTGCTATAGATTTGTTTGTTGTCTGCTGCAGTGTTGAGAATTGAACCCAGAGTCTGGTAATCTGGATAAGTCCCTACAACTGAGTTTATACCTACCCTCCAGCTCTCAGGCAGTTTTAGAGCTGCAGTGCTGTCGACTGTTAACTGTGTATTAGCATGACCTGAAATGTGTGTTGAAAACTATACATTTGGTGTGGAATGTAGCTTAGTGGTAGAACTCTTGGCCAAGGCGCACTAGTCCCTAAGCTTTTCTCAATACCATAAAAGGGAAAAAATATCAGGGTGGGCCTAGAGGTGTACTCAGAAGAGAGACCAGTGAATCTCTGAATTCCAGGACAGCCTGAGCTAGCAGAAACTGTCTTGAAAAGTCAAGGGAATATAAAACATCAGGTTCCCCTTTCCACTCCTGCTCACTGCAGGCATATTGAATGGGAAATCTTAACCCTTTAGAGAAAGGACATTTTAAAAATCTGCAGGGGCTGCTGATAGTCTGTATTTATAATGAATGCTAAGCAAATATATATATATATA